TTTTAATATTCACGAGGCAGAGTTGCATAGGGGGGGATTGATCCCCCAAAATTGTGTCTGTATAGTGGGGCATCCATATTAGCGCGACATGACTGCACCCGGTCATGGGCACGTTACTGCTAAAATGTAACAGTGTTACAGTTACAGTTACTCAGGTAAAAAAGTAACCTAGTTAGAGTTACAAAATTGAAAGAGTAACTTGTTATAGTTATAGTTACGTCTCTAAAGTAACGCCGTTACTTCGTCGTTACTTTACGAAGAAACATGAGAAAACATTCAAAATGGACATTCTTTTATATGCCTTTAGTTTAGCATAGATTTCTTAAAAGACATTGTGTTGTTCACGGTAGTGAATCTGATTATATCGAACTAAGATTTTCTTAATAATATATATTAATATATTTGGTTCTTCCTGTTTCAATTTTTACTATGAATAGCTCAGATCATAACTTAAAGCAGTATCCGAGTAAATCCACTACCGTAGAATACCGTGCATCCGCCCATACCACATTAAGCGCCAATTCCCAAATTTGTAAAATCTGAGAAAATATGCACAGTACATTGATATGTAGAACTGATGACCGGACAAGCGCCCATCCTCCATTTTTTTATGATTATCTCAAAATTTTGAGCGGGTGCTTGCCCGGTATTTTACGGTATATGATAAAGAATTGGAGTCTCTTGGTTGGCAAAATTACAGGGGACCATAGTCTTTTAAACATTAGCATAGCTGATAGCTGGTCTACAAAGAACTTTAAAATAAGAGAGACCACCATAAGGTGTACACGAACACAAGGGCACGCGTCCAGATCTTGTATATCCAATCATGGTGCCAGTTTACAGTCGGTCAATTCTAATTTCGGATTTTTTTTATGAGGCGAAATTGGACTGAAGCAATATAAATCGTGCAAATGTGAAGTCAATAATAATATGTCCTACCTTGTAATTCTTATGCTACTCTAATCCACTTGTCGATCAAATCATTTTCTACTGCGTGTTCTCAATCTTTCATGAAACACAAAGCTTTCCTTGAAAACTTTGAGAGCAATGTTGCGGCTACATTCCTCCGTCAAAATAAGCACTGATCGAGGTACAAACAACCACTGCGCATGGAATTCCAAACGGCTGTTGCCTTTCCTCCGTCGCTTCCTAACCAGATCGAACTTGCTCCTCTATCTTACCACCCGAAATAGAAGAGACCACCCGGAAAGCCCACGACTTGAATATCTATAAGTCAACTGATGCCAAGTGCCCCTGGCCCCAGCTAAGGGCGGTCTTTCAATTACAAAAACACACAGACAAACAAGCAGAACGACGCAGACGTTTCGAGCAGATACTCTTTCTCAAGTGAAGGGACCCGAGAAGGGAGAAATGGGTGACGGGAGGCAAGGCCGGTAATTGGGTTGTGAAAAAAAAAGGAAGGGAGAGAAAACAAGCCTGAAGTCGAGACCCCGCAAGAGTGCATCTGGGAGATGGACGATTCAAATTAGAGGGGAAGGAAACGTATGCTTGGTGGCAAGAAAACGCCCGTAAACCTGCGGGCGTTTGGGGCGACCATCCCTAAAAACTGTCCTCTTCAAAAAGCACTCGCTCCCTCCGCGGGACGAAGAAAAGAGGAATGCTTTAAAGATGCCGCGCTTTGTTACATCCCTGTGCGCTGTGGGCATACATGGCTGGTACGGACACAAACGTCCCCATCCTCCCAGTTGGCGGGACTAGCTTGGCCGTGCAGTGTCAAACAAAATTTAGTTTCTTTATATTTTTATTTTTTTTCCTTCCTGCTCCAGGCGTTCCCTGCAGCAGTTTTTGCTGTGCCCTTCCCGCACCAGGGCTTGGGACTCTCTCACGAGTTGCAAGGCAATTTGATGGTCGTATTCCTGTAAATCTGAGAAGTAACTGCAACGACGTTGCTTTTTACAGTTACTCTAAAAAACTAGTACCGTATTTGCACGAATATAACGCGACCACGAATATAACGCGAGGGCAGTTTTTGATGCCCCCAAAAAGAAAAAAAAATATTATTACTATTATAACGCGAACCGATGCCGCGTCAATTTCTCGCACTTGGGGGCATAGCAGAAGTGAAAAGTCAATGGAAATGGAAGAAATATCTGTTTATGTTTTGACTGCACTCATCCTCACTGCTCAGGTCCTTCCGTTTACAATCCACTTGGCGACTACGCAGGTATGCAGCAGCACGGCACCTGCTTGTCTGGTAGTTCTTTTTTCTTCCGTGGGAGCTCCTCGGCAGCCCACAATCCAAACAAGGCGCGGAAGCAGAAGCACCAACACACAAACACCAGACCACTCTGGAGCAGAAACTAAACAATGCGCTGGCAGAAAAAAAGACTGCTGAACCCGATACACGAACACACTTCTTGTTCTGGTCCCTCTTCGTAAACAAATGCCTCGTGTTGCACGATTGCGTAAACGCGGTCGGCGGTCTTGGCTTGGCTTGTGTTGATTTGACTTGACCCGGCTTGGCTTGGCTCGAATTGGCCGGTGCCCGCATTCCCGCATGGCGCGCGCGCGTGCAGCGTGCGCGCGATGTAAAAACACAAAAGCGATAAAAATGCTTTTTTATGTTTTCTATTCGCCCCTTCACGTGGCCCAATGGCTAGAAAATGGCCCTCCACACCCCCACTTCTTTTCCCATTGGATCTTTTGCATTGAGCCGGAGGGATGACTTTCTCCTCTGGCTTTCTCCAGACTCGCGCGCCTCGTGGCTGAACTCGATTCCGAATATAACGCGAGGTGCGTTTTGGAGCACGTAATTTCGGAAAAAAACTCGCGTTATATTCGTGCAAATACGGTAACTCTGTTACAGTTACAAGTTATTTCCACTAAGCAGTAACACATTACAGTTACAAGTTACTAAAAAAAGTAACTAGTTACCGGTAACACGTTACTAGTAACTAGTTACTGCCCAAGACTGACTGCACCACATGTTGTAATTCTTTTACTGATAACTTCATGGAAGACGTTCCATTTGAACTGCCATAATCAGTCATTGCCAATTAGGAAACAACATATCTAGCAATCTTCAGATATTGTTTTTGTTGTAGTTTCTGAATAATTATGTATCCAGCCCCCCAAAATTATTCGGATCCAGATCCTAAATCAAAAGGTACTGGGTACAAACATTTTCTTGTGAAAAAAGAAAATTTTTTAGAAAACAGAAAAACTTTCCAAAGTGAGAAGATATGTGAAGTATAATTTATAAATAAAAATAATAAAAATATATGAATTTTTTTAGGATTTCAGTGATGTGATTGCTGCGCCAATTGCGCCAAACTGCTCCCAGGGGCTAACCCTGCTACATCCTGCTACATTTTGCCAAAATATCGGTGATCTGCGCCAAGCCTGCGCCAAAAGACCAATTTTGGTCGTCTTTCAAAACTGAAACTAAACTGAGTACCGTAATTGAGCATGCATGAATGAGCTAGGTAGCCAAGCGGCCGGCCAACAAAAAGTACCCTGTATCAATCGTCCATCCGGGCTGCATAGTTTTTCCCGCCACCTCTCGTTTTACGCTCTCGTCGTTCATGTGTCTCGTCTCGCGCCTTTAAAAAAAAAAAAATTCAACGATAGACACGGGCGTGTGTTGACGCTTCAGTGCTTCAGTCGTTGTACAAAGTGCTCCAAGTACTTTTTGACCCTGACTCGCGATGTCTTGTTTTGACCTGACTCGCTCAGGTTCTTTTTTTCTGTGTGTTTAGCTTGTACCTCGCCTGCCGGCCTGGCAAGCACGTGTAACTGGACAGTTTTTTGTCGTATGCTGGACAGTTACATTTTGTGTACAATTTTGGGAACCAGTTGGTGACGGAGCGGAGTGGCATGGTGTCTGTTTCGATCGAACAGCCATCTCCGCTCGCGCGACGAAGCAAGTGCAAATGCAAGCCTGCTGAAGTTGCCCTCATGTGCATGCAAACATGACTGCACGACAGAAGCACCAGCCGGGACGCGTGCAACCCGTTGTTTTACGTTTGCTTACCTTTGACGAAAATCTGGCACGTCGGGAACCAGTAAAACGGTGTCAAGCGGTTTTTCGGAATTGCTCGGCAACGCTCACAGCACTGTTCACTTGAGGATGTCTCAATGGCTCTTTGGAGGCATTGAAAGTGGGAATTCATTGCTAGCCAAAGGCAGGCGGTAGTCAACCTAATGCTGTGATATTTACTAATAAGCTGGTCATTTTCAAATAAATTTTAATATGTGTAGTTTGGTTCTTTTTTTTATCTATAACGGTACATATATATGTATAATTTAACAGAACCATTGCAAAATGTGTCATATCATTGGCATTTCAGTTACATGTTGAAAGACTCCGTGGGCGTACCAACCAGGGGGGCAAGGGGGGCGCTTGTCGCCCCCTCTTCCCCCCGAAACAGCCACCGCTGGCACTGGCCGGCAGCGTCCAAGGAATACCAAGGGCACTGCCCCCCGGCCCTGGGGAGGGAGGGGGGGGGGGTGTCTGGTTTGCCCCCCCCCCACACACTTAAAAACAAGTTGGTACGCCACTGAAGACTCCCAGGTGGTCCAACTTGACCATAATTTGTTTATTGCGGCGAGCGAAGTGTCCTTTGTTCGTCCAGCACTTAAAACGAATATGTTTATTTTTCTAAGAATATCTGCTCCAAAAGCCACTTTTGCTGCTCCTAAACACTGTTTTGGCTGCTCCAAAAGCCACTTTTGCTGCTCCAAAACACTGTTTTGGCTGCTCCAAAGGCCAATTTCGCTGCTCCAAAACACCGTTTTGGCTGCTCCAAAAGGTGCTCCAAAACGGCTTAGGCCAATCACATCACTGGGATTTTCATTTTTCACTTTGCTTAAAATTGCCAGTTGCATTTGAGTTCTTCCGTGAATTGAATTTCAAAGCACCACACAATATTAAACTACAGCTGTGGCAAAACTGCATTAATGACTTCTTTTTTCCAAACTAATTGGCTATCTTTGTTAGGCTTTCCTTGTGTGTGAATACATATGGTTTTTTCTTCTAGGTGATGGAGCCACATTGTTGGGCAAGACCAGCTGCCCACTGAAAGTCACCAAGGACATCTGGTTCAGATGCTGTTCCTGCAACTATGTCACCAAAGATCAGCGTGGAATTGTGAGCCACCTGGCTGCTCATGGTGATGCACAATCCAAGTGCCGGCATCCTTCCAAGTCTGGCTCTAAGGTCCAAGTGCTCAGCAACACTGAAAAGCACAACAGTGAAAAGCCATTTAAGTGCAAACGTTGCCCCCAAGAGTTTGCTTATAATGCCATGCTGACCTGTCATAGTCGAACACATACTGGTGAAAAGCCTTTTAAGTGCAAGCAGTGCCCCCAAGCCTTTGCTCACAATTCCCTTTTAAAAAACCATAATCGAATACACTCCGGTAAAAAGCCATTTAAGTGCAAGCAGTGCCCCCAAGCCTTTGCTCACAGTTCCCTTCTAAAAAACCATAATCGAATACACTCCGGTAAAAAGCCATTTAAGTGCAAGCAGTGCCCCCAAGCCTTTGCTCAAAATTCCGATCTACGAAACCATGATCAAACACACACTGTTGAAAAGCCATTTAAGTGCAAGGAGTGCCCCCGAGCCTTCGCTCGAAATTCCGACCTACGAAGACATAATAATGTGCACACTGGAGAAAAGCCATTTAAGTGCAAGCAGTGCCCCCGAGCCTTTGCTCGAAATTCTCATCTGCAAGGTCACAATCGAATGCACTCCAATGAAAAGCCATTTAAATGCAAGCAGTGTCCACAAACCTTTGCTCGAAATTCCCTTTTAAGAAAGCATAATCGAATGCACACTGATGAAAAGCCATTTAAGTGTAAGCTTTGTCCCCAAGAGTTTGCTTATAATTCTCTTCTGACCTGTCATAATCGAACACACACTGGTGAAAAGCCATTTAAGTGCAAGCAGTGTCCCCAAGCCTTTGCTCGAAATTCCCGTCTGCAAAGCCATAATCGAAAGCACACTGGTGAAAAGCCATATAAGTGCAAGCAGTGCCCTCAAGCTTTCGCTCAAAATTCCACTCTACAAAGCCATAATCGAACACACACTGGTGAAAAGCCATTTAAGTGCAAGCGGTGCTCCCAAGCCTTTGCTCAATATTCCACTCTACAAATTCATAATCGAACACACACTGGTGAAAAGCCATTTGAATGCAAGCTGTGCCCCAAAGCCTTTGCTCGAAATTCCCATCTACAAAACCATAATCGAATGCACGCTGGCGAAAAGCCATTCATGTGCAAGCAGTGCCCCAAAGCCTATGCTCAAAACTCCCATCTACGAAGCCATAATCGAGTACACACTGATGAAAAGCCGTTTAAGTGTAAGGAGTGCCTTCGAGCCTTTGCTCGAAATTCTGATCTACGAAGCCATAATCGAACGCACACCGGTGAAAAGCCATTTAAGTGCAAGGAGTGCCCCCTAGCCTTTACTCGAAATTCTGGTCTACAAAGCCATAATCGATTGCACACTGGTGAAAGGCCATTTAAGTGCAAGGAGTGCCCACAAGCTTTTGCCCGCAATTCCTATTTGAGAAGCCATAATCGAGTGCACACAGGTGAAAAGCCATTTAAATGCAAGCAGTGTCCCCAAGCCTTTTCTCATAATACCACTCTTGTCCGCCATTATCGAACACACAGTGTTTAAAATGCCTACAAGAGCAAACAATGCCCCAAAAGCTTTGCTGAGAATAGAAGTTTATTTGCCAGAACCAGATGGCACACGTGCAGAATGCTTGCAGTTGGCCTGCAAGTTGAGCCTGCTCCATGTGTAATCATTAAAGTCATGCAGAACTTGATGCCATTTCAGTCGAAGGGTACAGATCCAAGAGGCATATCTTTCTCCTCTTGAGGAGGAGGAGGAAAGAGTAAGGAGAGGAAGAAGGAAGGAAGGTTTAGAGAGAGAGAGGAGTAAGTGAGATGTGAGAATAGAAAAAGGGCTGGCCTTGCGGTTGGGGAGGTCCTGCGGCAATTTTTTGTGGGTGCTTTGTTGTAGGGAAGCAGACGAATTGGAATGCGATATCTTCTTTTCATGTGCTTAGGGCGTTCTAACAGATTTTGAAACTCTGTTTTTGGATGTTCGACTAAACTCTGGTCGCTTATTGTAGCACATAATGGGGTTAATATTTGTGATACCCTCGACTCAGCGCACCCTGGCGGTTTGTAGGTGGAATAGGAACAGCCCGTTTCAAATAAGTTTGGAAACAACTTTACCCAGGATTGACCCAATCCCAAAACAAAATATACAATTACATTAAATAAAATAACAAAACAACCCAAATTCAAAATGCTAAGAACGCAGCTATACGAAATCAAATCCAGTAACCTAGTATGTTCTTGAAAACCTGAGCAATAGGCCCAATGTAAAGAGTGCACACTTATTGCTCCTGTGCTCCTAAGAGTAAAAATAAGTTCCGAGTTCAACCAATTTACAAATCAACACAAAATCTTTTTGTTAGTTTAATTTCAAATCGAACCCCGCTCGAGTGCTCTAAGGCATCGGGTAGTGCTTAGCAACGATATCGAGGACTCGGAGGAAGGCATCATTGCAGCGGATGGGGTGTCCATCGACATTCATCTCAGCCAGTTAAGGCGTGTCTGCAGCGTTGCAGCAGTTTTTATTTTGCCAGCTGGCATCCTCTCATACCTCCCGCTGCAGCCCCTTGCCTTCGGGAGCAGGTAGAGCTAGTCGAGTGTATTAAAAATATTAACCCCATTCATTAACTGTAACAGTAAGCGACCAGCGTTCAGCCGAACATCCAGAAACAGAGTTTCTAAATCTGCTAGAACGCCACAACAAAGTGCCCACCACAAATCGCCAGGGAATCTCACTGACCGCAAGTCCCCTCTTTTTTGTTTTGAGACAAATTTTCGGACAAATTTCCCCGATTCCCTCCCACACCCTCTTGCTTTCTCTCTAATCCTCCTCTCCTTCCTTCTTCCCTCCTTTTTCATTCTCCTCTCCCTCCCCCTTCCCTCCTCCTCGAGCGGAGTATGACGCCTCTTGGATCTGTGCCCAATCGAAGTATTCACATAACCGAGTGCAACATGGGTGTCCCAAAGGCTTTGCTCGGATTATTATTTAAGCGTGCCACACTGAAGCTTTTATGCACAATAAGCCTGACTAATTCCAGCAGTGTCCGAAGTCATTGTTTTAACGGTCTTGCCTTATCGGGCACATGCTAACAACCGAGGTTAACAAACCCTAAGGGCATTTGCGTTTGGGGGTTTGCCTGAACCAAGTGGGCCTTTCAGATGCCAGCAATATCCGAGAAACTTGAATCGGAATTCCAGCTTGATTGGCCACATACAGTGTGCACACAGAGCCAGACTATTGGCCTTGCTCTGGAGCCTCTTGTCCAAATGCCACCGTTCGTCATCACACTAAGGTATTGGGGAGTATTAGGTGATTCTTCTCCAGCTGTGATCCAGAGGTTGGGTCAAGGATTAGGAAACATTGTTTAATATTTTTCAAAGCAACTACTTTGTGTTCTGTAACTGAATGTACATTGGGTCATGCTCTAGCTCTTGTTCCAAGCTCCCTTGAACTTGCTCAAGGTGTGCTCTTCGAGGCAAGGTCTAATATGTTTGTAAAAATGTCTTTATTGTTTTTTTTTTTATACTACTCCTATTTATGAGGAAGATACAAATGTAACAAAGATTAATGTGCAGTCAGAATTTAATCTTGCTTATAAAAAAAAAAGGTTGGCAGTTTAAATTTTTACATTGTTTCTTTCGCTGCTGCGGAATTCGATACTGATGTAATGGCTCGTTCACACCCCTGGGACTGCTTACACTGGAGAAGCTAAAAACATGTTTTTAAGGCTCTAGTGAGAGCTTGCAACTTTTTGCATTGCTGTGCAATAAAATATACAAAATCGTCGTGAGCAGTCGCAAGACGCTTAAAAGCCGGTCTTGTCCCAGTCGGTCGTAGTCAAACGCAAGTGTGTGAACGGGTCTTAAGGGCGGACACTACCGAAAAGGGTCTACTCTTGAACTTTTGGCTTAGTATAAATGAAAATTAAAGTATATTGGTAGTAGCAAGACAAAATGCACTGCAAAGTTTCATCTGTGTACGTGAAATGTGAAGGAAATTATAGTTGTTTTTATTAGAAACACGCTGACATTGTTTTGGGAAAACTATTGTTAGGAAACTAGTGTAATACAGTGTAGACCACATATAACGTATGTTGCTGGAGTCGCGAAAATCCGCACTATAAGCGGTACCGCGTTATAACCAAAACATCAATTTTTCAGGCCAAAATACATGCCATGAGACAACTTATTTTTGTAAAATAATTTATTTTATGTTAGACGAAGAGGAGTCTTTATTTCACCAGACTACACTTCTCTTTTAAGTGTGCCAATTTTGAAAGAAATGAGCGACTTTTGCCTGGCGCAGCCTTTTAGCGGCATCGCTGATTGCGGACGGACGTTGCGAGCGTTCAGGATTACTAACCCTAATCACTTTTCTCCGGCGATGAAGACGCGTGAAAGTTCGCATCCATTATACAGTACGCGCCAGTAATACCTTCAACTTTAGCACAGGCGTGAAATGCTCCAAATAAGAAATCTGGGCGATGTTCGAAAACACAAATGCTTAGAAAGCACCACTGTAGTCGAAGTAAACAAACATGACGACACGGGCGTTTCTGCCATCTTGAGAGTGCCCCCACGACATCGCCGCACGAGTAGGTGGATTTTCCCTTCTAGTACGTGCTGGGTTATCATAGCGGCACACAACGAAAATTTACAGTCAAGGATAGCGCTTTTACGCGGAACGATCGCAACCGACGCCATGTTTGCGGATAGAAGCCGGCCCGCGACCGGCATGCAACGCGCGCGAACACTTCTCCTCGACCTGCGATTGGTCTGTCGTTGCGGTTGTTTCCAACGCCAACGCAGCGGAGGGACGCACGCACGTGAACGACACGTGCGTGCGTCCCTCCGTCGCTATGGCAACTGAAGCCTCTCTCTTCGCTTCTCTCCGCTTCTTGGAGCCATGACTTTGAGCAACCTCCTTGCCCCGCCGCTTGCGGCTAGCCAGGCTAGCGCCGTTATCTAGTGTCTTACAGGGAACTGCGCCAGTCAATCGGCGCGCTATTCCAGAAACCGCACTATAACCGGTATTTCCCTTCGCGCGCCTGCAATTTAAGCGGTATTTGGAATTCTATAGGAGGCGAACCGGCGGTTTAAAAAAGCCGCGTTATACCCGGTCCTGCACTATAAGCGGTTACGTTGTAAGTGGTCTATACTGTACCCAACATTTTCATTCGCTAGATACACAGCAGAATGCCTGGAGAGTGCAACTGTGAAAACAAAATTTCCAAAAAGTAATTTATTTAGTAGTAGTAAACATATTTATTTACAGAAAGATCATGTGGTATTTCGCTTAAGCATAGATTTGCCACGCACCAGCGGTGGTTCGGAAACCTGGCCAGACCCTAAAATCTTGCGGGGTATTATATGCGGGCCGTAAAAACCCGCATATAATACAAACCCGCGTATAATACGAGGCATGATTTGAGGACCGCGAAGAAAAAAAAAAGTTTTATCCGCATATAATGTGAAACAATTTAAGGACCGCGAAGATATTCCGCGTAAAATGCAACCCAGGAAGTCTTAAGAAAAACGTATATTTGCGTCATAATTGAACCTTAATCACTGTCATCACTTCCATCAGACTTCTTGTCCGACGCCTCCTCCCTAAAGCAGTCGTCTTTAGTGCTGTCGAGCACATTTGAAATTCCGTATTTCTTGAAAGAGCGAGCGACGGGCGTGCACCTACGCAGTGAAAGCCCGGCGCGGCGTATAAAGCGAACAACCCAATGTACCCAATGTCGGCTCATCAAAGTTCTCCGGCCCTCTCTTGCAGCAGCTTGATGTCTACGGCGACGTGCCGTTCACATTGCTCTTTTACAAAGTCGCCGAGACTTGCCTCGACGTCGGCGAGCACGCCATTTTTTGGGCCTCCAAAGCTTCTTCTCGTTCCGTTGCACGGGAACAGAGCTTGCTTTCGTCGTCTCCATCCGCGGATGCTGCCTTCATTTTCGGCGTATTGTCGCCCGGCAGCACTGTTGCCGATGTCTTTTGCAACCAAAATTACTTTTCTTTTGAAGGCGGCCGAGCATCGTTTTCGGTGATTCGTGTTGACGCCATTGCCTAGCCTGACCATGGACACATGGTGGCTTCTCAGACATTGTGATTTTAATGATGATGATAGCTGTTTTGAATGCCATATTGCTACGAAACCGAAACCACGTCAAACTGCGTCAGATCGCGTCTCATAGAAGCTGAAAATTGTTGGGACCCACGTATAATACGAACCGCAAATTTTACATGGCAAAATTTGAAAAAAAATCTCGTATTATATGCGGGTTTTTACGGTATGATGAGGTGTTCAAGGTGGGGAGGCCTCAGACTCTGAGCTCCCCACGAGACAGATAGTCAAGTAGGGACTTCAGGATTCGGGTCCTCCTTTCAGAGACCCGATTTGGGTGTGTCCACTGTCCCATATTCGTGGGTCTTACGTCGAGTGGAAGGCCACCCAAGACATCCTCTGATGCCTGGCAAGAGCCGAGCATCCCCGTATCATATGATTGAGTCAGTGGATAGAGTTAGAATCCTTACATCGTTTACGGCTATGGTCAGGGGGTACTGCATATGGTTCTATTCTTCTAAGTACTAAGTTCAATGTGATATATAGTCCTAGGAGTCATTGCACCACCAGTACGAATACGGTGAAGTAGCACCATGTCTTTTCTGCGGAACACTTTTTCTGGAATAGGGTCGTAGTTAGCAGTCCACAGCTCCTTGAGTTCTTTTTGCCGCTTGTTTGTTCATGGCGAAACCATTCTCTAGGGTCATACTCTTCGGAGGATGAGTCGGATGGTCTAGTAGCATGCTGGGAGGATTGCGTTGATGTGGACGGGCTCGATGAAATTCTTCTCGTCTCGCATCCAGCTGTCTCGTGTGCAGCTTCATTTCCAGGGATCCCGTTGTGAGCAGGGACCCATCGGATGTCGAACTGAATGTTGTTTTCTTTCGTTAACCTGTTGGCTGTTTTGTAGACCTTGTCTATCGTGGGGCTGCAGGTGCAGCGATGTCTTTGGATTTCTCTGATGGCTGATTGAGAGTCTGTGTAGAGGATGAGTTGTTTGTTGCTGACGTTCAGCGCCTCGGTGCTGTGCAGCCCAAGCAGGATGGCATGAAGTTCCGCTATCTCAGTAGAGTCCCCAGACCTTCCCGCCGGGCTGGGCATGACCGAGTGGGCCAGGGGTGCCCTTTGAAAGCAGTGGTATATCGACGCGGCCCCCACCCACGTACCAGTAGGAGGGTTGGTAGATCCGTCGGTATACACCACTATGTTGTTTTCGTCTTCCAGAAGCTCTTGTAATTCCTGCCGATGTTGCTTGCCTTGCTGCTTTCGTCTTTCTTTGCCCCTTTTTGTATTCATATTTTGTGGGAAAGCTTTGGCGCCGGTTGTGAGATTGATGAGTTCCTAGGAGGCCTTGGCTCCGGAATGGGCTTCACAAATTTGATTGGGACGTCCAAGTATCTCGCAAAGGCTCGCTCTTCTTTAATGTGCTGGAGTCGTGGACGATGGGCTTCCTTTTGTTGTCGTAGGAGAACTTTGAATTCAGGGAGGTAGATGCAGTTGTGCAGCTCTTCTAAGCGAGCGTGCTTAGGTAGTCCAAGGATTGCCCTCCTCGCATCATTCAACAGACTTTGTAGCTTGAAGTGGTGCGCCTTTGTGAGCAGGTAGAAGTTTGCCGCATATGTCACTTTAGATACCAAGACCGTGGTGACAATCTTCTTGGCCACCCTTTTTCCGGCACCACCTAGCCTGTGTGAGATTCTACGTTTAATGATTAGTTCTTGTATGCAATTACGTAAGCATACAAATTTATTTTCACTAACATCGTGCTTAAAACTTAAACTTTTTACTTTGTCGACAAAATTTTAACATTTTTTACAAAAGATGTCTATAAAGTAAACAAAAAATAATGCCACAGTTGCAGTGCCCATTAAATTTCATTTACGAAAAACAATGAGTAAGCCTTTCCTTTTGTCTAATTACCTAACGACATTTTTTGTAATTGAAATTTATGACAAAAAATGAAATGAAGAAAAACAGGCTCTAAGCGCTTGAACCTCGACCTTCTTTAACATCGATAGACCGAAAATAATTTATAAAATATAACTATGCAGTGCACACAAATCAAACATTCTGGGAATACTCTCTAGGTGTTGGTAGATGTCGGCATGGCATTTTTTAAAATTACTTTTTTTTTCCAGGAATTTCTTTTTCTAGGTAGTGTCCCCCATGAAGTCGTATGATTTAACTTTTTCCAAACTTTTTCTTTATACATCCTGTACCGTGCTAAGACCTCATTCTAGCAGTTTCCTCAGTGGGGAACTGATCACTGAGTGTGTGTGTTCACCAGAACACTTCCTGCTACCGGTTCGGACATCGCTATTTGAATATTCCTCGCACAGCCCAGCGGGTTTTGCTATAA